GACCCAGATCTGGCCAGGAGCCGTGGCCACGTTCATGACTCGCTGTTAATAGAAATGTCCTGGGTGCATTCCCCAAGGTAGTTAGTTATCCCGGGCACATAGCCCAAGGACAAGTGTCTCTGGCACGCAGCCCAGGGTTGTTGTTCCCTTCTCCCTGAGGAGTGGCCAGCTCCTCTGGGAAAGGAGTGCATACCTTGAGCCTGGTAAACTCATACGACCCCGAGCAGGCCTTAACATTTTATACTTTACTACAATTCGGTCCTAGGGCTGCTTGGGGAATATGCATAGTGTCTGTATGTGCACGTCTCAACACAAACATGGTATGTATCTTTCGCATACGGCGATACATCCAACAGTTATAGAAGCACAAAACAATGGGGGTTATAATTATTAATAGAAGAGGGGTAAATATAGCTGAGAAATATTTGTAGGCAGTGGAACTCCCAAACAAAGAGTCCCACCAGTGGTGATTAGAGTCCTGGGTTATAACATGAGAAAGGTCTTTTAATTGGTTAGATGTTATAGTGGTAATCAACTGATGCTCAGCTAGGGTTCTTTGATTATTAGCCAAAGGACGGGATAACAATTGGGAATTCTGTAAGATGGTTGCTAGAGTTAAATTCAGATATGCAGAAGGAGGTTGTACGTGAGGAGGAGTCCAGGAAAAAGCCTCATCCTCCTCCAGATCGGGAGCTAGGTAGAAAACACCACCGTTCCAGTGGAGCAACTCGAGACGCTGCAGACATCCTGAGAAGGGAGAGGAAAGTCCCATGCTGTGTAATTCCCTCAGGTTAGAGCTAGCAAAACAGACATGTTTGGGTTCTATCTCCTATAAAACAGAAAAATTGCTTATTGGGAATGCAGTGACAATACACAAGTTAGTTGAATGAGAAAGCAAACAGGGTTCCATTATACGAAGAAGGCCGTTACAAACTGGCCCTTGGTCAGTAGATATACAATCAGTTAGTTTGTAAGTAATATTACTATTGTCTATATGAGTGCCTTCTGTCTGTGGTTGTAGAAAATAGTTATCCTTAATAATAGGCAAAGTATGAAAAGAACATAAGGTTTTAACAACTTTAGGAAGGTAACAAATAACAGTGCCTAAGCACCATAAAGCAGTGCAATTAACAACAGGAGCATTCATGGCTATCCAAAAATTATTGGTAATAGAGTCGGGAGAACTTTGCGTAAGGAGACGTTGTGCATTTTATTTTTGTGTTAAAGTGTACAATAATTGTAAGGAACATTTAGTCCAACTGAATAAAGCAGTAGTTTTAGTCTCAATCCAATATTGCTGAATACTAGAGTCAGTAAAGATATGTAACATCTGTTTCTGATAAGCTAACGTTTGCTCATGGGGAATAGTAGTAGTGGGTAACCATTTAGCATTTAAGGTCACAGCTTTGGATACATCTGATCCAGTATTTTTAAGGCGATGGGCTAAAGCTTCTAAATCAATAGAATTAGCTACACCTAATCTAGAGCCAAGGCCACCTAAACGAGTGTCATACCAAGCACGGCATTTATGGCTGCATTTAGGTAAGGTGGGAAAAGAAATGTTAAAATGTATTACTCTCTGGGGTGCAGCAACAGAGATATTGGTACAGGTCCTAGGGATATGCACTATCTGAGGGGTGGCACTCTTCAGGGGTTGTTTTACTGAGACCCATATATAATCTACCCAAGATGTCTTATTTATGATTGGAGTGGTGTTAGTACAAAGAATAAACTGAGAACTGCTAACAGTTCAATTCAGATTATGTTTTGAATTATTACAGTATTGCACAGTCTGTAAAATGCTAGCTACAAAACTAGTATAAGTATTTGAATGAATGGAAATATTCACACTACAACAAGTAACATTAACTTTGGTTTTAAAAATAAAATTAATAGGTGGGGAGCTAGAAACTACCATGTGGTATTGGCTTTCCTTATTTCCTTTCCATACAGTCATATTGCTGTTTGCTGATACTGTTACATTTGCAATAGAACAGGGTTGGTTAGCACGACGCTGGAAAGAATCTTGGGAGCGTGGTAGAGTGACGTTCTTCCATGCATACTGCCACTCAGCTCTGGTAATGTTGTAGTGGGTTGGCAGTCCTAGTTGAGTTCCAGGTGTCCATGCATTACTCATTGCAGGTGTCCACAGCAGAGGAGTCTATAATATAATCTAGTTCCGTAAAAACAATTGGTTAATAGGATACATTTCAGGTTGTTCTTGTTGAGGGAACATGACTACAACTACATTGTTGTCTCCTTGAGCTATAACTTTCCAGCCCGTGGAGGGTCTGTAGCATGTCTTTCTACCCATACTTTGGTTCCAGCAATGTAATCAGTAGAACTAAAGCCACCATATCTCATGGTGGGGTTAGGAGGAGTATCTATCTTTTCCCAGTGATCAGTAGTAGCCTAAGGGATTATTAGTATTTGTGCTATTCCGGTGCCAGGCAAGAAGTGTAGAGTCTCTTTAGAAACATCATGTAGTAGAATTTTAATTTCTCCTACGTAGTCTGAATCAATGATGTCAGCCACTATCTGGATCTCTTTTTGAGCTAAACTGGACCGGGGAGCTATCTGACCATAATATCCCTTGGGTATTTGGATGCCTAATCCAGTAGCTACAGTTTCAGTAATGGCGGGATCTAGCCATACTCCTTGTATATTATGCAGGTCATAGCCTGCGGAAGCAGTAACGCTAGCATAAGGGGCTTGAGCATTGGGATGGAAGCCCCTTAAAATGAGACCCATTATCACTTTGAATTTGCAAAGGGATGACATAATATAGAGCAATGATGTCTAGAGTCTTGATGGTATAGTTCTGAGTGGCTCGCTTATATGCACAGGCTACTAGGACCCCCGAATACATGTCCACACATGTACAGATATATTTGCATCTCTTAGATAGAGGTAGGGGTCCAATATAATCTATTTGCCAAATTTGAGCGGGTGCTTTGCCTTGCAAGAGTTCTCCAGTTATAATCTTGGGCAAAGGCCGGTGTTCATCTAGTTGGCAAGTTGTGCATTGTTCTTTAACTGTTTTTAGGTCAGATAAAGGGACACCTATTTCGCGGTCCGGTGCCCACCTGTGCATAGCAGCGGAGCCTGCATGTCCTGTCTTGTGATGAATCCATCGTGCAAGTGTTAATGTTTCGTCACTAATGGGAGTAGAACATTCCACTTCAGCTATAGCTGCTAAGCAATCCACATCAGCGTTATACTCACGTTCAACTGAAGTCTTCTTAGCGTGAGCGCCTACATGGAACGCAGACAGGTTAGTGGTTTTAGCAATTTCCCAAATATCTTTCCAAATATTGGCTCCCCAAAGATCTTTGTCATAAAATTTCCATTGATCTTTTTCCCATTCAGGCATCCAAGTGCCTAATCCTTGGGCTACTGCCCAAGAGTCAGTAAAAATATAACATAACATTCCTTATCTCTCTCAAAGTTCATTGCCTGGTAGGCTGCTTGTAATTCAACAAATTGGCCACTTTTTCCTTCACCACTGGTCTCTAAGACCATCTTAGTCACTGGATTATAAGCTACTGCATTCTAATATCTAGTATGGCCAATATATTTAGCCGAAGTGTCAGTAAACCAGGCATGATTTTTCTGCTCAGTTGAGAGGGAATTATAGCCATAGTTATATACAACAGGGGAATTAACCCGTTCTATTGCTATTGGTTGAAAGTCATCTATGTTGGGAGCGTCGATTATCTGTTCATGTAGATCTGATATTCCAGATGGCCCAACTTTAGCTCTATTTTGAATATGCCATTTCCACTTAATAGTGCTGGATTCTTGAGCATGCCTAATTTTATGGGAAGCTGGATCACTCATAATCCACTGCATGATTGGTATTCTGGGTCTCAGGGCTACTTCATGGTTAAGGGTTAATTGTTCAGTTTCAGTTAATGCCCAATATGCTGCCAGTAGTTGTTGTTCAAAAGGAGTATAATGGTGTCCTGCTTCAGGTAATTTTCGGGCCCAAAATCCTAGGGGAACCCGTTTAGAGTCTTGTTTTTGCCATAAGCTCCAGTTAGCATAATTTGAGTAACCATAAGCTCTAAGGGTCCCTCTCGTACAGGCCACAAGTCACAGGCAGCCTGAATTGTAGCCTTTGCTGCCTCAAATGCTTGGATTTGTTCGGGCCCCCAGTCAAACTCATATTTCTTCCTAGTGATCTTATAGGAGGGTTGTAAAATCTGTCCCAAGTGGGGAATATGGTTCCTCTAATATCTAAAAAGACTGATAACCTTGTGAGCTTCCTTTTTATTCCTAGGAGGGGCAAAATCTAGAATTTTCTGTCGGGCTTTTGGTAATATGGCCCTGTGCTCGAAATTCCAACGAATTCCCAAAAATGTCACTTCTTGTGCTGGTCTTTGTATTTTGTCTGGATTGATTTCCCAACCTTTCTGTTTCAGAGGAGTCACCATTTGGTCTAAATAACACTGCACTAAATGCTCATCAGGACCTTGGATTAAAATATCATCTATATAATGAGTAATTAATAAATCAGGGTGAATTGGACATTCATCTAAATGTTCAGCAACCAGGCGGTGACAAATAGTTGGGCTATGCTTATAGCCTGTGGCAGGTGGGTGAAGGCATATTGACATCTTTGCCACATGAATGCAAAATATTCCCATTGCTTGGAGTCAATGGGAATAGTAAAAAAAGGCATTGGCTACGTCTATGACTGCATACCAGGTACCAGGATGAGATTGGATATGTTCAATTAAAGTTATTGTATCAGGTACTGCAGCAATTAGGGGAGGAGTGACTTTGTTCAATTCTCTATAGTCTACAGTCATCCTCCAAGAACCATCAGTTTTCTTTACTATCCAAACTGTGACTCACCTCTACCGGAACGGTCTTAAGGACCTCAGCCAGCTGGGGCACATCTGCATTATACAGTTTTCCACCCCAGTGCTCACTGAGACCAGTTCCCAAAGCCCATTCTTTGACAAGGGAGGAAAACTGAGGGTCCTCCCAGCCAGGAATATCACAAATCACACATAAATCCCCACTCTTTTTCTTAAAAGGCAGCATTGCTTTGGTGGTCTTGCGTATCCTGTCCGTGACGCCAATTTGTATTGATAATCAGTTTATCAATTGCTGTGCACAGGCTTAAATGCTAATTTGGGCTCGATACGCAAGACACACCACCATAAGCCACAGCCGTTTAGTATACTTTCACTTTATTAAAAGAGGAGGAGAGAGATTAGGGAAAAGAGAGAGACACAGAGAAGTTTCAGGAAAACAACAAAGAGGAAGAACAAGAAAGAAAGAAAGAATCAGTCCGTCATACCACTAGAACCCCATCATCAGTACCGGAAAACAAATCATCACGGGCAAGTTTCAGGGGAGGATGACAAGGCAGCAGTACTCCAAGCATGATCAGGGGAAGGCTGCTCGCGGTTTCTCTAAGCTGATATTTATGCTAGTTTAAACAAAAGAGCCTCAGTGCCAGTAGGTGCATGCATGATTCACATACAGACATGGATCTGGCCAGGAGCCAGGGCCGCGTTCACGACTTACTGTTAATAGGAACGTCCCGGGCACGTTTCCCAAGGTAGTTATCCCGGGCACATAGCCCAAGGACAAGTGTCTCTGGAACGCAGCCCAGGATTGTTGCTCCCTTCTCCCTGAGGAGGGGCCAGCTCCTCCGGGAAAGGGGTGCATACCTTGAGCCTGGTGAACTCGTGTGACCCCGAGCAGGCCTTAACATTTTCTACTTTACTACAACATCGCTAATCATCAAAGAAATGCAAATTAAAACCACAGTGAGATATCACCTCGCACCAGTTAGGATGGCCAACATCCATAAGACAAACAGCAACAAATGCTGGCGAGGATGTGGAGAAAGGGGAACCCTCCTTCTCGGCTGGTGGGAATGTAAATTGGTTCAACCATTGTGGAAAGCAGTATGGAGGTTCCTCTCAAAACTCAAAATAGAAATACCGTTTGACCCAGGAATTCCACTCCTAGGAATTTACCCTAAGAATATAGCAGCCCAGTCTGAAAAAGACATATGCACCCATATGTTTATTGCAGCACTATTTACAATAGCCAAGAAATGGAAGCAACCTAAGTGTTCATCAGTAGATGAATGGATAAAGAAGAAGATGTGGTACATATACACAATGGAATATTATTTAGCCATAAGAAGAAAACAAATCCTACCATTTGCAACAACATGGATGGAGCTCGGGGGCATCACGCTCAGTGAAATAAGCCAGGTGGAGAAAGACAAGTATCAAATGATTTCACTCATCTGTGGAGTATAACAGCAAAGCAAAAACTGAAGGAACAAAACAGCAGCAGACTCACAGAACCCAAGAATGTACTAACAGTTGCCAAAGGGAAAGGGACTGGGGAGTGTGGGTGGGAAGGGAGGCATAAGGGGATTAAGGGGCATTACGATTAGCACACATAATGTAGGGCGGGATCACGGGGAAGGCGATATCGCACAGAGAGGACAAGTAGTGACTGTACAGCATCTTACTATGCTGATGGACAGTGACTGTAATGGGGTATGTGGTGGGGATTTGAAAAAGGGGGGAATCTAGTTATCAGAATGTTGCTCATGTGATTGTATATCAATGATACCTTAATAAAAAGAAAGCATGTCAATACCTTTAAAAACTATCTATATCTCATGGACTTACTTAAACCTGTAGATTTCCCTACTTATTACCAGGATAAAATGTAAATGGCCACCAGTAAGGGGTTGTTTAAATGAATCATGGTACATCCGTAGCCTATATTGTATTCAGGCACTAATAAATATATGTTTAAAGATTGTCTAAAATATCCAAATGTGCCTGCAATATATGGGATATGAAATTTACAAAACGCTTGTGGAATATTATTTCAATTTTACTTTAGAAAAATAAACATGAGGACGTCTAGTTAGAAATGGTTTGTGGCAGTCAGCCCTCAGTTGACCTTCCTGAACATTCTATTTAAATAAGTAGTAATAGGTATGACATTTCTGTTTAAAAGGTAGAAAATCATGACAAAGTTGTGACAATTATACCAACTGAGACAAAAACTTGTTAAGTTAAAAAACACAAAAGCACACATTTTTAAGGACACCAAAGAACTGTGTGTATGAAGAGGTTTATAGAAATTAATTTTATAGCAGAACATGTCTGCTTGGTGAACAGAGGTCGGTTGCCACTAGAGTTATGTGCTGAGTCTTTGTAGATTAAGGAGCAGACCAACAATAGGCAAAGGGACTCCGCTGGAGTAAAAAAAGAAAGCTAGTAGAATTTTTAGAAACACATAGGATGGTTTGACAGATGGTGTCTTCAGGAGGCCCAAACAATAGACAATGATAAGTAAGGATGTATATGAAGTTTGGTAGGGGTCAGGGATCAAATTTCCTTTCACATGAATGTTCATCTGATCCAGCATCATCTGTCAAAAAGATTTTCCTGAGTACTTCTGGTTTGAACTCAGAAATGCCCAGAGCTGAAAGGAGCATCCTTCCTACCCATAAAATAAGAAGTGGGAATACTGCAAACTAATGACTCACTTTGGAACCCTTCGGAGAACTGAGGTCTCACGGAAAACATCACACACAAAATTTAGTGAAAGATAGGTACTTGTGGGTAGAAAGAGGATCTAAGTAAGCATTTGCTTACTTGGGACACACACTACCTGAATGCTATATAAGCCATTAACAAGACTAAATTAGAGAATTTCAAGAAATTTCTAAAGGCTGAGTGGGGGCTACCAGTGAAGTATGAAGTCTGGGAGGAGTTTCACACCATCCTGTGAGCTTTTCCTCCAGGATCTCCACTAGATGCCCACAGAAAAGATCTGTGAGGATCCTTAGAAAGATCACTCTTGCTGCTTGCTGGGAGAGAAAATTTAGCAACCCCTGCCAAAATCCCAGCAGACACATCTTCCCTATATTCCTTATGGCTTAATCTACAGGGGAGAAGGCATCAATGTTCTCTGTATCTCTTTGCACCTTTCCTGAAAATCTAAAGTTATTCGCCCCAAAGGATTATTTACATATATTTTTAAAAAGCTTTCCTTGAGAAAGATAAAATGTGTACTTCCTGACATCCAGAAGCTGGTCAGGCCCTCACAGCTAGGCCATGCTATTCTCCTAACACACAAACATTTTCACAGAATACCAATCTTGACCAAGGTTATTCTGAGAGCGTGATAAAATGACACCAAGTATGGCTTCTCCACAATTATGTCTCAGCGCAGACAAAAACAAGGTCCCTGTGCCACACATCAAATACCACATACCCTCTTTCTTGGCGAAAATGAGTGACTGCTACTTCTTTGCCAATTATATATTTATCTTCCTTCTAGTCCCCCCTCCCTATAGAGAAACTGTATTGAGATACCCAGTCACAAAATTGCCCATACCTTCTTAAAGCACTTGATCTAGATTGAAACTTCCTTTCCTTAGACTCTCCGCAAGTCATTCAACCCAAGCTCAAATCCTTTAGTAGGTTCTTTTAAACACCATCTTATCAACATCCCCCGACAAAAAGTGATTCTCCATGGCGCATGTTCTCCCTTGTTGCAACTTGTTTCATTGCAGGTATCTTTCTAGACGTCGTTGGCTGAAGAACATTGACATCTTAACGTTTGAGTTTGCTTGATGCCTTAGGACGAAGATCACCTGACTGAACATGTAGGTCTATTTCTGCTGTCTATTATTTTCCATTTATCTATTTGGCTACTCTTATATCAGTCTCATATTGTCTTGATTGCTGTAAATTTATAAGCAAGTCCTGAAGTAGGGCAATGTAACTGGACTTTTTCAAGAAAATTTTGAGTATGCTAGCTATTTCGTGTGTTTACATTATTTTTGAATCAGTTCACCAATTTCTTCAAAAAATCTGTTGCAGTTTTGATAGGGAATCTATAAATAAGTTTGGGGAGAAATGACATAAAATGATGAGTTTTTAAGTCTTGCTGCATTTATTTAGGTCTTAAAATTTCTCTTAGTGATAGTTGATAGTTTTTGGTGTAGGAATTTTGTACACTTTTGCTAGATTTATTCTTAGATATTTAGAGTTATCTGATACTATTTTAAATGACATTATTATTATTATTTTTAAACATTTCTTTAAAATTTTGGTATCATTAATCTACAATTACACGAGGAACATTATGTTTACTAGACTCCCCCCTTCACCAAGTGCCCCCCACATACCCCATTAGTCACTCTCCATCAGCATAGTGAGATGTTATAAAATCACTACTTGTCTTCTCTGTGTTGCCCAGCCCTCCCTGTGCCCCACCCCTCACATTATACATGCTAATCGTAAGGCCCCCTTTCTTCTTCCCTCCCCCTTCTCCCTCCCTGCCCACCCATCCTCCCCAGTCCCTTTCCCTTTGGTAACTGTTAGTCCTTTCTTGGGTTCTGTGAGTTTCCTGCTGTTTTGTTCCTTCAGTTTTTGCTTTGTTGTTATACTCCACAGATGAGTGAAATCATTTGGTACTTATCTTTCTCCGCCTGGCTTATTTCACTGAGCATAATACCCTCTAGCTCCATCCATGTTGTTGCAAATGGTAGGATTTGTTTTCTTCTTATGGCTGAATAATATTCCATTGTGTATATGTACCACATCTTCTTTATCCATTAATCTACTGATGGACACTTAGGTTGCTTCCATTTCTTGACTATTGTAAATAGTGCTGCAATAGACATACGGGTGCATCTGTCTTTTTCAAAGTGGGCTGCTGCATTTTTAGGGTAAATTCCTAGGAGTGGGATTCCTGGGTCAAATGGTATTTCTATTTTGAGCTTTTTGAGGAACCTCCATACTGCTTTCCACAATGGTTGAACTAATGTACATTCCCACCAGCAGTGTAGGAGGGTTCCCCTTTCTCCACATCCTCGCCAGCATTTGTTGCTGTTTGTCTTTTGGATGGTGGCGATCCTTACTGGTGTGAGGGGATATCTCATTGTGGTTTTGATTTGCATTTCTCTGACGACTAGCGATGTGGAGCATCTTTTCACGTGTCTGTTGGCCATGTGAATTTCTTCTTTGGAGAACTGTCCGTTCAGGTCCCCTCCACAATTTTAATTGGATTGTTTGCTTTTTGCTTGTCGAGGTGCGTGAGCTCTTTATATATTTTGGATGTCAACCCTTTATCGGATCTGTCATTTATGAATATATTCTCCCATACTGTTGGATGCCTTTTTGTTCTACTGATGGTGTCCTTTGCTGTACAGAAGCTTTTCAGCTTGATATAGTCCGACTTGTTCATTTTTGCTTTTGTTTCCCTTGCCCGAGGAGATATACTCATGAAGAAGTCGCTCATGTTTATTTTTTAAATTGCATTTTCCAGTCATTCATTAATAGTGTATGGACATGGTTGATCTATTTTATTGGCTTTGTATCCTTTGACCTTGTTAAACATGCTTCTTAATTTCAGCCATATTTTATAGATTGAATATGCTTTTATTAACAAAATCATGTATTCTGTGGTAATTACAGTTTAAATTCTTCCTTGCCAATCCTTATGATCTTCATTTTATTTCCTTGCCTTATAGAACTGATGAGGTCCTCTAGTGCAATATTAAGTAAGAGACAGTCTCCCCGTGTTATGGAGCAACCACTTAGCCTTTCGTCATTGAGTATAAATGTTACATGCAGGTTTTTCATGGATACACTTTATTAGGTTGAGGATATCCTTTGATAAATATTGAGACACATCTTACCGCCCAGAAATCAGTTTAGTTTGGTAGATGGTCCACATGCTCTCACAAAGAATGTGTATTCTGAAGTTGGTAGATGTTAGGATTCATAAATATCAGTTAGGTGAAGTTGGTTGGTAGTGTTCAACATAATATCCTTTGTCATTTTTTTTGGCTAGTTTTGTGAATTTTTGGCAGAAAGATGTTGAACGTACACAATTATGATTGTGGGTATGTCTATTTATCCCTTTATCATTGTCAATAATTCTTTCATATATTTCAAAGCTCTGACGTTAGTTGATTTCAAATTTGGATTGCTATGTATTTTTAATGAACTTATATAGGTTTTCTTTTTGAAAGATAAAAATACTGTTTAAAAAGTTTTTAATTTTTTATATTGAGACCATCTTCAATAAATAATGTAAAAACTGGGCAGCTGCATGAAAAACAATGAAACTGGGTCTCTGTCTTATACCATAAACAAAAATAAACTCAAAATGGATTAAAGACCTAAAATAATATATGAACCAATGAAACTCCTAGAACAAAAGTCTTGAACATCAATCATCATTAGCAATTTTTTTCTGTATATGTCTCTCCAGGCAAGGAGAACAAAAGCAAAAATAAACAAGTGGGACTACATCAAACTAAAACCCTTCTGCACATCGAAGGAAATCATCTGCAAAATGAAAAGGCAACCTACTGTATGGGAGAAAGATAAAAATGCTCTTAAATTATATAGTGTTGTTAGTTGCCCAGCTCTGTGTATATAAAAAACACAGTCTTGTACACTGTAAAGGTTGAGTTTTATGGTATTTGAGTTATATCTTAATAAGGCTGTTTTTTAGAAAGAATATATAAAGTAACCTAAAATGTTCATAAATATATTGCTAGGTTTACATACATATATGTATGTGTGTGTATGTGTACATATACATAATATATGTCAGTATAAAAATTACAGAATTATCTTTGAATTATATACACAACAAAAAATATAAAGGAAATGATATGTGACAGATATCCCCAATGCAACCTCTTTGCCAGAGTAACAATGTTGCAAACAAAAATATCAAAACTAAGCTATTTCTCAGGCAGAACCTTCATGATGGTTCTAACGTAGATCCTGTTTGCTTTCCAACCCTGGTTTTCCATCTCTCTTATTGATGACATGTACAACCTGATATCCTTGGATAAGATTTATTTTTGATTCAATGATCCTGAGCGTTCTGTTGTTCATAACCACACACCCTGATCAATGCAGAGGTTGGCAGATGTAAGTGCTATTTACAGTCATAGAGGGAAAAGAAACATTTTATTTCTAAAACCACTTTATTGAGGTGTGATTGATGTACAAATACCTGTACATGTTTAATATATACAAATTGATTTAAATAAATTTCTAAGAAAGAAAATGTACAAGGAAGAAAAGGGAGCCCAACGCCTCAACATAGAACATGTCAGCTTGAAGAGGAGCTTAGAGGAAGAGGAGCCAAAAAATGAGCCAAAGAATGGAATTCACACGGGAAGGAAGAAAACCAGAGGAGGGTGGTTTCTTGAAATCCAGAAGATTCAAGGGAAAGGAAGTAGGCAGCACATTCCATGCTACTAAGTAGTGAAACAGGGGCAGAGGAATGATGTTTGATTTAACATCAGAAAGTTGTTTGAGAACAAGAAAGAAACAATGTAGAGGACAGAAGGGGATGCAAGAATTGTTGGAGGGGGAGATGAGGAAGCAGGGACAACCCATTTAGAAAACATATCATGAAAGTTTGGCTGTGAAGAACAGCAGATATGTAAACAGTAAATAGTAGGGAAGTATCATCAAAGGAAGGAATTTGTTTAAGACAGAGAATAGTGGAGCATGATGGTATAATGATGGGAATGACCACTAGAGCAGGAGAATATAAAGATGCAAGAGCCACAGTGGTTATCTGTAGGGATAACATATTTTAAAGGGAGAAAGTGAAGGTGAGATGCACTGGAAATGCTGGATTTGTTAAAATTATGACCCACCTGCCCCATGCTTCATACTCTTACTTGAAGACAAGCTGGCACCTACGTCCCCATGGATGGCCAAATTGAGAATGAAGGGTTAACAAACCAGTAATGGCCAGAAGATGAAGGAATGGGATTTGAAGTCCATGAACTCAAGACTGAGTAATAGAGTTTAATGTGGAATGACACATTTTAAATTTGAGAAATGTATTGGTTGGGGGTTATTATGTGCCACTTGTAGTTTTTTGGCATGTATGTGAATGTTTGTGTGTTGTATATTTAGAGTTGGGGAAGGGTGGAGCTGTGGAAAGATCATGTTGTTAAGTAAAAAGATATCCCTACAATGAAGCAAATTAGTAGAGGGGACTTTCTCCTTTACAGGGGGAGAAAAGGGCAGTCCTCAAGACAGAGAAGAAAAACTAGGAACAAGGATCAGCCCAGAATGGAATCTGGAGATGGGTGATTTTATTCCTGGACTTTAAGGATCATTGATACTTAGCCATCATATCCTAGTAGTTTTGTTCCATATTATAATTCCCTCTAGTTCCTCTAGTTATATTTACCCTGTCATTAAAATCTGCTGCTCCTGTAATATCTAGAGAGGTATTTGGGGATATTTAAGAAGTAGGGCTGTGGGGAGGTGGAGGTGATGCCTGAAGCAGCATGGGAGGCTCTATGAGATTGGGAAATCCTTAAGGAAATAGGATGCCGAAGTGGTGGCAGGGGCCATGTGTAAGCTATTTCTCACAGTATGAAGAAAGGCCATAGGAGAAGGATGCACTCCTCTGAGAAGCATGAGAAGAGGCAGCATGAGAATGCCAGCTGTGAGGTGCAGTGGAGGGGGTGAAAGATTCCATGAAGATTCAGAAAGCATTGCTGCAAAGCACTGTGGAGAAGGTAAAGGATGTAGTGGTGACTGAGATCGAAGCACTTTATGGGGCAGCTGTGGGATTAATGGGATTAATACATAAATCAAGTAATATATAAGTCAAATGTACAAATACATATGACTTGATTGTTTTTCCTACAACTCCTGATGCACGATCAAAAACAGAATGATTAGAACCAAAACAGTTCCCACAACTCGTGACCGGCCTCACATGGTTTCGGTATCCTTGAGGAGCGTCATGCCCTAGGGCTAGACTCAGGGTCAGATAACGATTGTGTGTTGTGTTGAACCCCTTACTCAGAATTCTTTAGATGTTTAAGTTCATTTGCTCAATAAATATGAGGAGTGCCTTTTCGGCATTACTCTTGTGCTGTGACATCTTGAGTCCCCTGGCTGGCCTTTCAGGTCTCCAGCATTCCGTCGCGTTCCCTCCAAATCTGCAGGTCAGAGGCAGAGGGGAGCCGACAAGTGGCACCCAAACAGGGACCTCAGAGTGGGAGAGCTCCTGAAGATCGTTGATCCGGTAAGACTCCCGGGAAAGCATACATAGAGACAGGATCGAGACGTCAGGGGCACTATAATGGGCCAACATGAAACTAAAGCAGATAATCCAGAGGATTACACAAGCCCGTGGAATTCCCCTGTATTTGTTATAAAGAAGAAGTCAGGAAAATGGAGACTCTTACATGACTTAAGACAAATTAATGTAGTCCTTAAACCTATGGGACCTTTACAACAAGGCCTCCCTTCTCCGGCTATGAATCCGAAAGACTGGGACATGGCTATCATTGATCTTAAAGATTGTTTTCTTACTATTCCTTTAGCTTTGGCAGGGAAAAGTTTGCTTTTACTGTATGTACCCTCCTTAAATTTACAAGCTCCTTCAGAAAGATTCCAATGGAAAGTACTTCCTCAAGGAATCTTAAATAGCCCTACAATTTGTCAAAATTATGTGCACAGAGCTCTCTTGTCCCCTCCTGGCGTAAGCCAGGAGCTCTGTCTGTCCTTTCACTTTATCTCTAAATAAAAGCCTCTCCCTGGCTCTCCTACCTTGGGTGTTTGCTAAGTTCATTCTTTGACTCTGCAAACAAGAACCCCGGCATCATTTTGGTGGGCTCATCTGGGATAACTAAGGAGGTGAGTATCAGCATCCGAGCCTGCCTTTTCTTTCACTGTCCCTATAGAAGGAAGCCGTCTATGGCACACAACATAGGGTGCTCGTCAGCCACTTAAATGGGACTAGCCCGGCTGCCAATCTCAAAGTCTCAAGCGACAGGTTCCCCTGCATCTCCCTCAGTGGATCCCCCATCTCCCTTGGGAGCCAGGAAAGTCTCCTGAGTGGAGGCCAGGATTCCCTTTCAGAGGCATCTCCTTGGATGCGAGGGACTGAGGAAAGCTGTGGGCAACTGCGAGAGTCTAGGCTGAGGCTACACTTCAGCGGCTTCTCAAAGGTCCGCGTGTCTGGAGTCAGACCCCAACAGCCCGACTGGGTATCCCTGAGGAGTGACTCTCTATCTCTGACCTCCAGTCTGCTTCTTCTGGCTGCCCTGGCCTCTGAGTGGGGTAGGGTGCGTTCCTAACTCTCTTCTGACTTCATCAGTTTCACGGAACCTGATGGCCACCACCGCAAGGTAGGAGATGCACGCTTTGCTCTCATTCCTGACTAAATGCTGTACTCTTTATCTCATAAAATGTGCCTGGGCACCTGTTAGCCACTTAAAAGACGATTAGCATTGGCTACCAGTCTTAAGTCTCCGGTGAAAGGTTTCCCGCTCCTTGATCCCCTGCCTCCGGACGGGAATGTCAGGGAGTGGCTGAGCCGATTTCCTACGCTTTATCTTCTGCACACAAGCCTGGCCTCAATACAAACTCTCTAATGGAGAGGCTAGACTGACCCCTGAGAGAAGTATACAATATTATAAGGTTATGCAGCTAAATTTATTTTAATGCAAGGAAAGAAAACAGTGTAAAGTCCCATGAACTACTACAATATGGAACTAGTCTTCTAAATTATTTGGTGGAAATCCATTCATTATCCTCAAAAATTGGGAGGTTTTCAAAACTAGACTCCCTGAAACAGAAGAATTTTATCTTCTGCAATATAGCCTGGCTTTCAATAACTAGTGCTAGAACTGTACTTACATTTCATTTCCAGCCTCCTAGACACACATAGTCTCTATCAGTACAGAGCCTTCATCGGCCCTGTTCATCTGGGGCCATCTAAAACTTAACCCAGTTATGTGAACTGCTCGCCCTTAGAGTGTATTCTTGAAAACTGAGACACTTTTAATCAAATAAGCTAAAAAGAAAGAAGGCAATTGAATATTAGTAACTCAAATCTTTGCATCAGTTTATCTGTCTGTGTATACGTTCTTTTATGAAAAGGGTTGCTAACTGTAGTCATTGCTTCTCAATCTGTTTGTGTGTCTAAGTGAGTAAATGAACAATATTTTTCTACCTCTGGATGGTATTAATAAAAATTGATTTAAAAACAAGTGCTTGTAAAAATTGGGCATTCTAAAACTTCTGGAAAATTTTGATAGAAGATATTAAGCAGTAATGCTAATTTAAGTTGAACTGAAATGGACATGTCCTTATGGTTATCAGCTGCCTAAGTTTACCTAAAGTCATTGAAGTTGATGTTATCTGTTAAATCTTTCAAGAAAAAAAAATGCTTGACTTTGTCTAATGTTTGGTAAAAGTTTTGTGAGCATGGTTGTTAGGAATGAGTAAACTCAATAAATGTAGCAAGTAAACATCTTAATAATTGTGTCTTACAGTGTGTTACAGTGTGTATACCTACAAACAGCCTGAGAATCTTTGTGGTAACCTAAAATCTTAAAGTTTTGCTAAGTTAAGTAGACATGTTTTGTGCTTAGTGAGAGGTTGTGCTGTAAAGCACACAGTTCTAGAAATTCTGAAATGTGTTCATAAATTTGTCAATCTAAAGAATGCTAGTGTAAGTTTACAATAGCCTCCTTCTCAGTGTTAACTGAAAATTAAAGTTCCGAATGGTTTTAAGTTCTAATTAAAGCTATGTAAAATAATAAGGAAAACCTTTCTTTCTGCATGCTAAAGAATGTGTCTTTTGATAAAAGAAAGTAACTTAGTTCTAAAGCACAGCTGTTTATTTAAAGAGGAAGAACTCTAAATGAAAAAAATTGTAGAAACTTTGTGGAAGAATTGATATGGTCATGCTATGTGAAATTAAAGCAAATTCATCTCGATATCAAGTACACAGCAAATTAGAATTTTGTTTTCAGTTAAAAGGACAAAGTTTTCTTAAACTGTTAGTCTGCTCTTAATGTTGAAAAATTGCAAAAGTTTTCTAATTGTTTTATGAAAGCAGCTTCTCATGCTTAAAGTCTCAATGAGTTGTCTGAGTATTTAAGAAAATGAGATCTTAATATTAAAAGGACTAAAAGTTAAACTTTGCTAACAACTGTGTAACCTTCTGTATTTGCCTTTGAGGTATTTTGTTGTCATTCTGGTTAAATAGATAAGCATTGCTTCATGGCAACCTATAATCTTATTTAAGCAAGTGCCAAAGAAACTTTCTTCTGACAACTTCCCAAAATCAAATCCAAAAAGGTGCTTTTATCTCTAGTTAACTCTGATATTTTCCAGAGGGTCCCTGGAACATGACAGAGGACTTTTTTCTCATTGGGGAAAGTATTTGGCTAACTTGGTTTATTCATCTGACATATAATTACCTGCTTAATTACCTGGAAAACACTGTCAAAGGGAATGATGCTAAATTTTGTTACTAAATATTTTGTGTTACAGAAACATCCAAATTTTCTTATGTCAACTGTCTTTACAGTAAGCTCTCATCAGATCTTTAGCCATTGTCATTTGTAAGTCTTTTGTCATTTATAGTCACTGTTTTATTAATCCTAAGCTAGAAAAGAACTAGATTTCGGCAGAACAAGCATTGGTTACATAGAATTAAGTAAACTAAGGCAGGTCACTTCCTGGCAGGTGCAGGAACCTCAGGATGTCTTGGGGACCTCAAGAAGAAAGAAATTCATCCAAATCTACAGGTATTGCAGGCAAAACCTGATGGCAAGTCTGATTTGGGGCCTTTAAAAGTCCAATCTGAAATTCCTTATAAAAAGTACCAGCAAAGCACATTTAAAAGAGCCTACATAATCAAGCCAAGTGATAATTATTGTCTTAATATGGTTACTTCTAATAAAAATGAAAGTGATTTTAGAGAAAAGTATTGTTTCAATAATGCAGCATTGTCTATACTGAATCCTAATACTAGTCATTGGGACATAGATCATATCCAGAATTCTAGTTTCCCCAAAATATCTGACTATGAATTCTCCAGATGTTTCAGTTTTCTCTTATCATTTCAATTAAAGGTTTACTATTTCTAGTTCTCATATTCAGTCATGCATTCTTAATCTTGTCACATTCATCCAAAATGGAAAATCCAACTTCAGATGTTGCTACTTAACGTAATAACACGACTTTGTTCTATCTTGCCTGGAAGCCATAAAACTGCAAATAGTAATAGAAATGGAACCCAAGATGGAAGTGCCCACCTCCCGAGGCCTCTTGACCCACCAGTGATGGAGACCTAACTGCACCCTTTACTGTGTCCCCTCTCAGGATGAAACAGCCAGAGCAGTCGTCACCCCCTTTCCCTAGCAGCAGCTAGGGTCTCCATCTGTAGAGGGAGGAATGAGACAGGGACCGTGGGTGTAGTCAGAATACGGTGAGGGCCTCCAGATAAAGCAAGGCAGGATATTTACAGTCAGAGCAATGTAACAATGGGCAAAGAAGTCCCTATTGAAACTCTATGTTAAGCATTATGCAAAGTCAAGGTCACACTAATTCTCTCAGCTAAAGATACCCGACTAGGAATATAGATATCTTCAGTGAGCTCAGTTAAAGCTCAGAAGGCCAGGAGCAACTTGGCCTGGAATGTTTGAGTGTTCTGCAAATAAAGAAGGGTATCTCTGCATAACCTGTGACTTCACTGTAAACAGCCCTATCAAACAGACAATAACCCAGACCACCTTAGGGGCAGGGCCGGTGGTACAAGTCCACACCCTAAGTCCTCTCTTCACATTATCAAGGTATATGTGGCATGGGACACACCCTTCCTGCTCTAATAGATTATCCCGGAAATACTCATAAAAGATTTCTCCGAGCTCTGCCGTCTGATTGTAAGGCAACTTGAAGCTTTTAGATCCCACCTCTGCTGCGGTTGCAGCTGCATTCATCCTGCTGGTTCCTGGACTTGTCAGTGGAATGCAAAAGGAAATATCTAAGCTGGCCTGTGCATATAACGAGACAATGAATTTGACTCCTTCCATATTATCTGAACTCAGTCAAGAGCTAGGAGAAGTGCGAATTGCAGTACTTCAAAATCGTGCTACTATAGACTGTCTGCTGTTGAAAGAACTTAGGGGATGTGTTGCTTTAATTTGTCTGACTTCTCTGAAACCATTCAAAATCAACTAGACAATATTCATAATGTTATTAATAAGTTTTCACAAATGCCTGAGTTACTTAACTGGCTTCATTGGATATGGCCCTTAATTGTAGGTCTGCTTTTGTTAAGTATCTGTATTCCTGTTCTGTTAATGTGTGTTCATAAGTTAATTAATAGTCTGTTAAAACCTATGCAGGCTTATGCTACTCTACAAGAAGTTATGTCATAGAAATAATCAGTCTTATCACATTTTTCTTCCGTTTGCTACTTCTGGAACTTCTCTTCTCCCTTCCTGAATACAACCTTTTTGTTCTAGAATTTGTGTCTCATACATAGAATTGTAGTGCATCAGAGCCTTTCCAGCTAATGAGGATACCTCAAGACAAGTGCTGGGCATAGTAGCCATGAAGCACAAATTTTCAAAAAGGCAGAAAGCTAACCTCTTCAAAAAATACTACTTCTCTTTCACTCACCAACT